TTGGCCCATTTAGAGGCGTGTTACTGCACTGTTCACTGTGAGAAGTTCTAGCATCTGCTTCTCACAGTCATGAGACATGCTCCCTGCTTGTTTCCTTCTGAGCAAGGGATTCCCTGTTCTTACTGTTCAGGGCTGGGAAGACAGAAGAGTGGAGTGGAGGCGATCTCATCTTCCCTGCAGCCACCTTTATTTTGCTGGGTTTTGCTACCACCATCATAGAGAAACAGTAGCTCAAGCGCCATAGTCCCTACAGTTTCCCCTCCTCCAAGATTTCCACCCTTTTAAATAGCAGTTATTTTCCCATAAAGACAGCATAGCACACATTGAGGTATTTCCTTCACACCTTTAGCATGGATTTTAGGCCTTGATTTAAAAACCCATTGGAGGAGATGAGAAATCTGAGTGACCCTTCTTTTTGAAGGAAAGTACTATCTTATTAAACTTGCTGTAAATTAATAATCTGTGGGGTTTTTGTTTTGTTTTGTCATTGTTCCCAAAGGACTAATTAAGGCACTGGAAACTCTACTCGTTGGTCTCGTGAGCTGTGGAAAGGAACATTCCCTGGCTGTCTGTCACAAAGGGAGGGTGTTCGCATGGGGAGCTGGTTCTGAAGGACAGCTGGGGATTGAAGAATGTAAGGAAAAAATTTTTACACCTAAGTAAGTATTCTAATTCATTTATTCATTCAGTAGTTTTGAGTTCCATGTGCCATGTACCATACAAGATACCAGGGTACAAAATGACTGTGGCAGACACAGCCCCTAACCTCAACCATTACAGTGTAGTGAGGGGAAAGAGGCTGGAAAAAAACTTTTAATATCAATTATTATTTAGAGTCCTAGAAAGTAGGGCACAGTGAAGTGAGAGAACATGTTATCCTTTGATCTTAATCTTATCTATTAGAAAGAACTTTATACCACTTGGACCTCTAGAGTTGGTACACAGATTAAAATGAAAACATTTGAGCTACTGAAGATACCAAAAGCGATCTTTTCTGAATTTCCCTATCTGACTAAAGTAGAGCCTCCTAACATTCAGCTGCCATTAACCCTCCTATGGTAGAAGTGAGGCAAACATGATCCTTAATTCAGCTACTGTGAAGACAGACTGACCAATCAGCATCAAAAAACCCAGTGGAGCCTTCCATACTCTCCTATTGAAGCCCTAACCTCCGCTACCACCTTCCTGCTTTCTTAAGTTGACATATATAAGCCTTTACTCAGGCTATTCGATAAATTTTTTATTACTGGGAGCTCCTTTGTGTACATATAAATAAATCTTGTCTTTTCTCCTGTTAATCTATTGTCAATTAATTGCAGGTCCCCAATCACTGTACCCATATTGGAAAACTTTTTCTCCCAACATAACTTTTTGGCTTGTTATAAGTTAATGGGTCCTAATATTTTACTTAATAGAGTGGAAGAAAAAAAATCATATCCTCACAAACAGCTTTCTAGTACAAATGATACAACAAGCAGTCTGAATTTTGTGTTCACGAATTACATGCTTTGGAAATGTTCAAAAGCATGTTTTTTTTTTAATACTAAGAAGTTACTTCTTGTTACTTCCTATGGCCATTAAATCGTGTGAGAAATCACTGTGGCTTTGGGGAATGAGCATTGAACTTGGAATGAAAAGATCAAGGTTTGAGTCTAGTTCTACAGTTTAATACATATTAGACCTCTTTGAGTTCTACTAGGTTCAGCCATATGAAATGCTGATAATTATGTTCTGACTCACAAAAATGGCAATTCAACTCAATGCTTTCTTTATTTCACAGGGCTTAAATTAGGTGATGTAGGTGACAGTGCTCTATAAATTCTAAAGCCCTGTGCTATATGTGTATGAAGAAATTTATTTTTCTTTTAGGCCATTAAATATAAGATAAAAGTTAGTCAAATAATGCATTAAAAGTCCAGTAAACATCATTTTCACATTATATACTGTTTTGGATTCTGCCCTATACATTTGTACATGTTGATATTATGTTAAAAACAGTTCAGAGCTTTGGAATAAAGGTACTACAGAGATGTAAGACCATAAATTGTTTTCCTAGACCAAATGTTTTAAATATCTGTAGTCTGCTTGGTGATCCACTCTAAAAAAATGATTAATAGATTTTATATCATTTTTATTATAGGAAGATAAAAACCCTGACTGGTATAAAAATAATACAAGTTTCCTGTGGACACTACCATTCCTTGGCATTATCAGAAGGTAAAAAACGCTTTTTGGATCTCCTAAGTGTCATTAAGAAGTTTTTTTTTTTTTTTTAATATAAATGATACCTATTGATTTTTAATACACTGGAGTTTATTTTAATGCATTTAGAAATTTTTAACTGTCCAAATTTCATAAGATGTTTTGTTCTTCATATTCTCTCCCCCCCCCCCCCATTTTCTTTGTCTTTATTATACTCCAAGTAGTGCCTAATTCATATCGCCATAAAGAACCATCTCTGTTTACATGACATGATTGGCTGACGCTCAGAATGCAGTAGTGGCTTTATTTCCAGCACTTTGCGCAGTATGCTGAGTGGCTTGTCTATGCTAGTAAAGTCAGACAAAGGCCTATTTGTCTTTTTTTACTTAGATCAAAGAAAGAAAAGTCAAGATGGCACAATTGTGGCTCTACACTTTTTCTACCAACATCTCCCATCTTTTGTCCATCTTCAGGCCAAATTTCTCAATGGGGTCTCTTAGGTTCAGTACCTGGGGGTCTACAAATTTAACAAAAGACAGTTTACTAAAAGAAAAGGCACACAATTTTTATTGATAATTTCCATGCATGAGAGTTCACAGAAAAGAAACTCAAGAAGTAGTTAGATTTGGGGGCTTATATATCATTTTAACAAAGGATAGGAGGTTTGGACCAGGAGAGATAAATTATGAGAAAGTGACTTGGAAATGTCGGGGAGAAACCAATGGAAGATAAGGGTTATTTTAGTAAGGGTTGTTTATGCAGACTCATGTCAATGCTAACTCTCCATCTCTGGTCATGAGTCCCTCTCCCATTCTGGGTACAGGAGAGGAGGATATCTTCACAAGGGAAATTTATGCCTTGCTTTTGGGTGGATTAAGGGAGAGTGGAGAATTCTTTCTGAATCTGTTGATTCTCAGTTACCTTCAGCTCAAAATAACCCTTATCCCAAAGTGTCATATTCTTATTCCCTTCAAGAAATGTCTGATATTTGCATGTCCCTCAGGTGGTTTCTCATGCATAATTGCAACTGTGCCACAGGGGCCATGGACAGCCAACATTTCTTGGTTGCATTCTGTGTTCCAGCTACTCTGTTAAATGGTTTACATGTGTTGTCTCGTGTACTAAAACACAGAAGGACATTTGGGCTCCAAGACTTTCAATAATTTGCCTAATGTCACACACTAAGAAACAGAAGAGGTGAAATTTGAATCTATACTTGTTTATATCCCAACCCTAAAACCTTAATCACTGTACCACACAGGCTATGCAAGCAGGACAATCCCATGGCTATAGTGTGATTACTTCTACCTACCATTTCTAGCTATTTGATATAAAGTAAGTTATTTAACTTTGCTGAATCTCAGTTTTCTCACCTATAGGAACATGGATGCCTAACTTAAAAGTTCTTTAGAAGATTCAGTGAGAGAAGGTACACAATATATCCTGTACAGTCCACAGCAGATAGCATAGGGGTATAATAAATATTAGTTTCTTTTCCTGCTTTACTTTCCTTCTTATTTTTTAAAATTACAAACTTTTTATTTATATTTTTTATCAAGGTAAAACTGACATACAACATTATACAGTGTCAGATATACAACATAATGATTCAATAGTTGTATATACTGCAAAATGATCACCACAATAAGTCCAGTTAACATCTGTCACCAAACGTAGTTACAGAATTTTTTTTCTTGTAATGAGAACTTTTAAGATTTACTCTCTTAGCAACTTTCAAATATGCATTACAGTATTATTTGACTTGTCATGCTATACATTAAATCCCCATGACCTATTTATTTATAACTGGAAGTTTGTACCTTTTGACTCCCTTCACCATTTTGCCCTCCCTTTGCTTCTGCCCCGGGCAATAACCAATCTCTTCTTGGTATCTATGAGCTTTTTTTTTTTTTTTTTTTAAGATTCCACATATAAGTGAAATCATATAGTATTTGTCTTTCTTTGACTTATTTCATTTAGCACATTGCCCTCAAAGTGCATCCATGTTGCCACGAATGGTCTTTCCTCTTGCTTATTGAAATGATTTGAATTATTTCTCTGGACTATTGATTTGTTTTTGCATTGGTCTGGAATGTAAAGGCTATGTAGAGTCCAGCACTGAATACATTTGCTATGGTGACCTTCATGAGAGTTTGACATTTTCCAGTACACTCTCAAAAATTATTTTCAGTAGTAGAAATAGAGTGGTTCACAATAAAAATCAGATATAATAACACAAAAATCTGAGATGTGTTGGCATTTCTCTGGCTCAATAATTAATCATTAGAAAAGCATGATTTTTAACCTAATATTAATTATCTATCTCTGGTCAAATTCAATATAAAATGTTGTTTTTTCTCCCTCGGAGAGTCAATCCACAAGTATTTATCAAGTGCCTACAATGTCAATCAAGTGCCTACAAGTAGTTATCAAGTGCCAGCAAAGAGAATATAGCAGTGAACAAACTTAAGACACTGCTTTCATGGAGTTTATATTCTGAAAGAAAGTAGGGAAACTGAAACTTAAACACACAAATACTTACATGATATAACAGATAGAGATAAGGATGCGAATAAAAGTGAAGCAGGGTAGGAGGACAGAGAGCAAATACCTGGGTGGAGGAAAGGGGTCTTTCTGTTTATAGAAGAGGTCAGAGAAGCTATCTCTTATAAGGCGACATGTGAACAGAGATCAAAAGGAATGGAGGGACACATGATGCTAAAGCAATGATCCAGAAACAAAGGCCATGAGGTAGAGGGCACGCCCACTAGTGTGCTCAGCAACAGAAGGAGATCTGGAGAGAAATGAGCAAGGAGGAAATGAAGTCTGAGAAGTGGTCATGGGGAGTACCGGGGATGTAAGGCTTGTGAGCTGTTGGTAAGAATCAGCCTTTTATTGAGTAGGATACCAAACTCTCGAAGGCTTCGATCTGACTTATATTTTTAAAAGATCACCCTTGCTGTTTTTCGGAGAACAGACTGCTGGGGGCAAAGGTAGAATCTGGGAGCCTAGTGAAGTGCTGTTGTAATTCTCCAGGACAGAAATGATGGTGACTTGGCCGCTAAGGTGGTAGCAGTGGGGAGGTGAGAAGTAGTTAGATTCTAGATTAACTATGAAGTGTTAGGATCTGCTGGGTTGAAGGGTATAAAAGAAAAAGAGGAGTCAAGGATGATTCCGAGCTTTTTGGCCTGAGCACCCGAAATAACATGGTTGCTCTTTAACTGGAAGGAGAAGAGGAGTGGATGTTGTTAGAAGAGACTCATAAAGATGATCTTGACCATCCTCCTTGCCTTTAGTCAGAATACTTTAACCTCTTTTATCCCTGTTTTATTATTTCAAGATTTTTAGAATTAGGGTGGTGGTTTCTACTTGAATTTGGTATTCCATTGTGCGTGCAAGTCTGAATTGCTCTTCTGTATTTTTGCAGATGGCCAAGTGTATTCATGGGGAAAGAATAGCCAAGGTCAGCTGGGCTTGGGGAAGGAGTTCCCCTCCCAAGCCAGCCCACAGAGGGTGAGGTCCCTGGAGGGGATCCCTCTGGCTCAGGTTGCTGCAGGAGGAGCCCACAGCTTTGCCCTGTCTCTCTCTGGTACTTCATTTGGCTGGGGAAGCAACAACACAGGGCAGCTGGCCCTCAGTGGAAATAATACCCCAGGTAAGGAGATAGTTTTATTCTTGCAGTAAATCATTATTTTTTCTGGTTGGAAGACCAACTTTGCAAAGGGCAGTCTCAAGGTTTTGAACAGTGGTTCCCAAATTTTTTGACGCATTATAATCACCTAGAGGCTTTATTAATTTTTGATTGCTGCTGTAACAAATTACCACAAACTTAGTGGCTTAAAACAACACAGATTTTTTATCTTATTGTTTTGGTGGTCTGAAGTCAGGTGCAGGTCTCACTGAGCTAAATCAAAATGTCTGCAAGGCTCTGTTCTTTTCTGAAGGGTCTAGGATAGAAACCATTTTCTTGCCTTTTCCATCTTCTAAGGGTCACCTGCAATCCTTCACTCAATCCCCTTTCTTCTTCAGAGCCGGCGATGACTGGTTAACTCTTTCTCCAGTCACATTACTCTGACATTGATTCTTCTACCCCTCTTTTCTTCAGTTAAAGGACCCTTGTGATCTCCCTATTGTAAGGTCAACTGATTAGCAACTTGAATTCCATCTGTTTCCTTAACTTCCCCTTTGACATGTACCCTAATATATTCGCAGGCTCCAGGAAAAGGACATGGACATCTCTAGGAGGCCATTATTCTGTCTACCATTAGAGCATTTACAAATCTCAGTGCCCAGGTTGGACCCTATACCAATTAAATCAGAATGTCTGGGGATGGAATCCAAGCATCAGTCATTAACAAAGATCCCATGGGCGATTCTGATGTGCAGCAAAGTTTGGGAACCACTGGATTAGAAGCCTGCTAGTAGTAGGGGAAACAACCAGTTCCTCTAGCAACCTTTAAACAAATTTATTGTGAAGTTTTCCAATGGACCCCATCCTCCTCTGATCAATTCTTTACATTTGGCTAACATGTATTTAGCATATGCTAAGTGCTAGTACCAAGCTGAGTACTTATACCTCATTTCATTTAACTCTCAACATAAGTAGGTCTTTTTATTTTCTCAATTATTATTACATATTTGCAGAACACTTACTGTGTGACAGAAATGAATACGACATGATGGTAGCATTATTGGGATGAGAATCTTAAAGCTTAGCTTTCTAGGGCAGTAGACTTAGGAATTCCAGAAGCTTAAATAGTTTCCAGAAATAAATGCTAAAAGACTGCTTTTCTTTTCTAAAGCAGAGCTTTCCTTCTGTTTTATACCTCTGATTATTTTTTCACTTAAAAATTATGATGAATTATAATAAAAATATTAAAAAGTATAAAAAATTTAAAAACTCATGATATCTGAGCCTACTTCTTATAATCTAGAGATTCTGCTTTCTTTCAACAGTACAAAGATACAAGCCTCATTCAATTGGTGCACTGAAGAGTCTAGATGTGATTTATATCAGCTGTGGTTATGAACATACTGCAGTGCTTACCCAGGTAATCCAAAATGTCTTGCTATTCTTTTAAATCCCAGAGAAATGTTACCATAACGTACCTTGTACTGATTATTGATGAAAGCAATATGTGGATCAATCTCTCAAGACATTCATTTAGTGTATAAATGTTTAAGAGAAGAAGTTAACCCAATATAAACCATGAAATTTTGAAGATCCTATAATAAAAGCTAATATCATTTTTAGGTTATGTTTTTAGATACAGATTAAATTAGGTTAATATAAGAGCTAATCCTTTTAGCAATTATTCATAATGTGATTCTATAGATGAAAGTTATTACAGGAGCAACAAAGTAATTTTTACAGTTTTCAATAACCCCCATTACAGACTAGAATATACTTTGTTCAGTTTCTTGCAAGGCACAGATACAAGCTGGCTTCCTGAATGTTTTCTTCCTTTTCTTATACTAGCCACATAGTATATTCCAATGTGATGGATTTGCTCCATTGCCATAAGGAATAGACTTGAAAACTATGTAGATGAAATGTTTATTTAAAAACTATATATCTAAAATAACTTTTATTACTTATTTTAAAAGCATGTTTGAAATATATTATTCTTAGCTGGCAAGAGAAAGCTAGAGTTAATTTAATCAAGAATCATCTTTTGAAGATACCTTGAGACAAATGAAAATGAAAACACAATGACCCCAAATCTATAAGACACAGTCAAAGTAGTTCTAAAAGAGAAATTCCTAGCAATACAAGCCTACTTCAAGAAACAAGAAAAATCTCAAATAAACAACGTAACCTAAAGGAACTATAAAAAGAGGAACAAACAAAGCCCAAAGTAAGTACAAAGAAGGAAATAATAAAGGTCAGAGTGGAAATAAACAAAATAGAGACTAAAACAAAACAAAACAAAAGATCAATGAAATCAAGAGCTGATTCTTTGAAAAGGTAAGCAAAATTGATAAACCTTTAGCCAGACTCATCAAGAAAAGAGAACACTCAAATAAATAAAATCAGAAGTGAAAGAGTAGAAGTGACAGCCAACACCACACAAATACAAAGGATTATAAGAAAATACTATGAATAATTATAAGCCAACACATTAGACAACCTAGAATACATGGATGAATTCCTAAAAACATACAATCTTCTAAGACTAAATCAGGAAGAAACAAAAAATCTGAACAGACCAATAACTACCAACAAAATTGAATCAGTAATCAAAAACTACCAACAAGCAAAAGTCCTGGACCAGATAGCTTCACAGGTGAATTTTACCGAACATTCAAAGAAGAATTAATACCTATAATTCTCAACTATTCCAAAAATTTGAAGAGGAAGGACGGCTCCCAAACTCATTTTATAAGGCCAGTATTTACCTGATACTAAAACTAGACAAAGATACTACAAAAAAAGAAAATTATAGGCTATGATCAAATTAGATTTATTCCTGGGATGCAAGGTTTGTTTAATATCCACAAATCAATTACTATAATATGCCAGATAAAATGAAGAATCAAAATCATATGATCATATCAATAGATGCAGAAAAAGCTTTAGAAAAAACCTAACATCCATTTATGATAAAAAATCTCAGCAAAATAGGGATAGAGGGAACATACCTCAACATACTAAAGACAATATATGACAAACCCACAGCTAACATCTTACCCAAGAGTGAAAAGCTGAAAGCGTTCTCCTTAAGATCAGGAACCAGACAAGAATGTCCGCTTTCACTATTTTTATTCAACATAGTTTTGGAATTCCAGACACAGCAATCAGACAAGAAAAAGAAATAAAATGTATCCAAATTGGAAAAGAAGTAAATCTGTCATTATTTGCAGATGATATGATAGTATATAGAGTGAACCCTAAAGGTTCCACCAAAAAACTATTAGAACTGATAAATGAATTCAGTATAGTAAGATACGAAATTAATATTCAGTAATCAGTTGCATTTTTATACACTAATAACGAACTATCAGAAAGGGAAATTAAGAAAATAATCCCATTTACAATTGCATCAAAAAGAATAAAATACCTAGGAATAAATTTAACCAAAAAGGTAAAAGGTCTGTACTCTGAAAACTATAAGATACTCAAAAAAGAAATTGCAGAAGATACAAATTAATGGAAGGATATACCATGCTCATGGATAGGAATAATTAACATCATTAAAATGTCCATACTACCTATTGAATCTATAGATTCAATGCAATCTCTATCGAAACACCAATGGCGTTTCACACAACTAGAAGAAATAATCCTAAAACTTATGTGGAATCACAAAAGACCTTGAACAGCCAAAGCAATCTTGAGAAAGAAGAATAAAGTTGGAGGCATCACCCTACCTGATATTAAACTATTCTACAAGGGTATAGTAATCAAAACAGAATGATACTGGCATAAAAACAGACACATAGATCAATGGAACAGAATAGAGAGCCCAGAAGTAAACCTATGCCTATATGGTCAATTAATCAATGACAAAGGAGGCAAGAATATACAATGAACCGAAGACAGTTTCTTCCATAAGTAGTGTTGGAAAAATGATAAAATACATGCAAAAATGAAACCAGACCGCTTTTTTACGCTATATACAAAAATAAACTCAAAATGGATTAAAGACTTAAATGTAAGACTCAAAACCATAAAATTCCTTGAAGAAAACATAGGCAGTAAACTCTTTGACATAGTTCTTAGCAATACTTTTGTTTGTTTGTTTGTTTGTTTGCTTTCATTTTTGGATATATCTTCTTGGGCAAGGGAAACAAAAGAAAAAAATAAACAAATAAGACTACATCAAACTAAAAAGGTTTTGCACAGTGAAGGAAACCATCAACAAAACAAAAAGACAACCTAGAATAGGAGAAGATATTGGAAGATATCCAATAAGGGGTTAATATCCAAAATATATAAGGAACTCATACAACTTAATGCCAAGAAACCCCCAAACAGTCTGATTAAAAAATGGGCAGAGGACCTGAATAGACATTTCTCCAGAGAGGACATACAGATGGCCAATAGGCACATGAAAAGACGTTCAACATCATTAATCATCAGGGAAATGCAACTTAAAACCACAACAAAACATCACCTACCACCTGTCAAAATGACTATCATCAAGTCAACAAACAACAAGTGTTGGCGAGAATGTGAAGAAAGGGAACCCTTGTGCATTGTTGGTGAGATTGTAAATTTGTGCAGCCAATTGGAAAACAGTATGGTGGTTGCTCAAAAAATTAAAAACAGAACTACCATATGACTCAGCAATTCCACTTTTGGGTATTTATCCAAAGAAATCCAAAACACTAATTTGAAAAGACATATGCACCCTTATGTTCATTGCAGCATTATTTACGATAGCCAACATATGGAAACAACTTAAATGTCCATCGATAGGGGAATGAATAAAGAAGAGGTAGTACATATATACAGCAGACTATTACTTGTCCATGAAAAGGAATGAAATCTCGCCATTTGATACAATACGGGTGAACCTAGAGGGTATTACGCTAAGTGAAATAAGTCAGATAGAGACAGACAAATACCATATAATTTCACTTATATGTGGAATCTAAAAAACAAACAAACAAAACAAACTCATAGATACAGAAAACAAATTGAGAGTTGCCAGATGGGAGGGGTGTTGTGGGGAAGGGATTAAGAAGTACAAATTGCTAATTATAAAAATACTTGTGGTGATATAATGTACAGCATAGGAAATATAGTCAATAATATGGTAATAACTATGAATGGTGTCAAATGGGTAGTAGACTTACTGGGGTGATCACCTCAGAGTTATGTAAATGTCTCATCACTATGTTATACACGTGAAACTAAGATAATATTGCATGTCTACTGTAATTGAAAAACAAATTTAAAAAAAGAATCATCTTTTGAAAAGAGATTATTTTCTGAGTAATGTACAAATAAATAAAACAACTCTATACTTAAAAGTTAGTGTTATTTTTGAACTTGTTTATTTGTCCATCCATTCATTCTACAAACATGTATTAAGTGCCTAGTTTGTAAGGAAATGCCAATGATTTTTTTGTTTAATTTTTTCGTTTAATGTTTTAACTCTATATTCACTATTAGAAATAGTAAGTACAGGACCCCTCCCCTTTACATAGGTCTTATATTTCACAGAGTGCTCTTATATAACTGTTATATACTTAATCTTACCTTTTAAGTTTTTTTTTTTTTAACTTGAAATTAGTCTGATTTCTTTTTTCTAAAACAGAATGGAAAAGTGTTCACATTTGGAGACAATAGCTGTGGACAGCTGGGATACAACCCCACTGCTAAAAAGAGAGGTCCACAACAGGTAGAAGGAATTGATGGTCTAGTTTCACAGATAGATTGTGGAAGGTAATAGGCTTTTTTTTTTTTTAAATGAGTGGAAAGTGTTATATTTTATTAGAAATGATTCATATGGAATATTATCAAACCTTATAACCTTAAAATATGTGACTATTCTTTTTATAGATCATTTTCCTTTCTGAAAGTTTACTTCTTCCAAATATGGTTTAATTTTTCCATTTTTTCTTCTTCACCCAAGGCATTTCACTTATTTAATAAGAATTAATTGGAAGCTTACTGTTTATAGACCACTTAACTAGGTGCTGGGGGGTGGGGTAGGTTTACAACAAAAATAGTGGTGTTTGTCTACTTGAGTTGATAAAACAAAATTAATCTCATGCTTTTGTATGTAGAAGATGATATATATTTGCATATATATTCAGAGTTTTGCATAACCTTATTATGAGGACAGTTTGAGTATCATCTACCTAATTCATAAAAAAAAAACTTTCTTTTAAAACATAAATGATAGAAACCATAGTACGAACCCATTAATAATAGTATATATTTAAGGTTAGTAATAAGTTAATATTCACCTACTATTTGTTTAGCATCATTTGGTACTCTCTAACTCGGCCATTGTGATAAGGGATCTGCATACTTAGTATGAGATAAATCTGTTATTTTGTGTTAATAGACATCATTTTTCTCAAAAACTTGAGTATCTTGGTCTTCATTATATGTATTCTCTCTTCTGCAGTTATCACACCCTTGCATATGTCTACACCACTGGTGAGGTGGTGTCTTTTGGTCGTGGACGAAATTGTGCAAGCAGCCCAACCCATTCAGAGGCCCAGATGGAGAACTTTGACATGAGCTGCCTGATTTCTGCTAATGGTATGAGTGGTACCACTAATTCATGATTATCTGTTAATTGATGCAACTGGAGGAGAAATATTATTCTGCTTCCTCTCAAAGAAGTGCATGAACTATGGTTCATCTAGTACTGTTATTTTTCATTTGTATAATATGTATTTTTTCTTATGCATTGATTCCTGGAGTATTGGGTAAACTTTTCTAAAGATTAAGGTAATACAAAAGAAGATACTAAATTGTTTACTTAAGCATCAGAACAATATACTTTTATATATTTAATCAAACCTCTTCTAAAGCATATCAGCCTGGCTTCATGACAAAAGTGCATGAAAAACTAAATTTTCAGCTAAGTGAATATATTGCATGTAACCTGATCAAAATTAATCGTTTCTGCTATTTGTAGTCAAATTCACTTAGAAGAATATAAATTGCCTGTAGAGATTAATTTACCTTGGTAATACATCTGAGTTTGTTTGTTTGTTTGTTACAGTCAAATGATTGTTTATTCTGGTTTTTCCTTCCTTTTTTTTTTTTTTTGGTATATGTGTGTGACATTCTTATTTCCCTAATTGAATATTAAGCTCTTTTAAGGCAAGGTAAAACTTTTTGGCTAATTTAATTTCTCTATAGCCCATGTTCCTGTGTGAAAACCTTTAGTAAGCTTTTTATTTTTATTTTTTAAAATTTTAAAATTTTACTTATTTTATTTTGACAGCAAATCATATATATTTTGCATTATATGTTCACCACTCATAGTTAGATTTCTTTCTGTCACCACATATTTGACCCCTTTTTACCCCATCTACTTTCCTCCTCCCCCACTACCCTCTAGTAACTACTAGTCTACTGTCCATGTCCATGAGACTCCGTCATGTTTGTCTGTTGTTTTTAGGTTTATATCCCACATGTAAGTGATATCACGTGGTTTTCAACTTTTTCTGTCTGACTTATTTCTCTTAGCATGATTATGTTAGCATGATTCCATGTTGCCACAAATGGCAGTATTTCATCTCTTCTTATAGCCGAGTAATATTCCATTGTATATATGTACCACATCTTTATCCAATCATCTATCGTAGGGCACTTCGGTTGCTTTCATGTCCTGGCTACATCAGAGTTTTTAAGACCTTTTTAAAGAGCAGTTGTAGGTTTCCAGTGACAGATTTAATTTTTACTTATAAAAACAATAAGCATGTGTTCATGACTTTCTTTTAGATCTTGTGGATGTTCAAGTCAAACACATTTTTGCTGGCACGTATGTCAACGTTGTGACAACATATCAGGTATCTATTATACTTTCTGTTTCTTTTAAAAAACAGTATTTTACTCTAGATTTCAGAGCAGTATTTGAAATATTGTATCATTTGTATATATTCAAATTTTGTACTAAAATAGTAAGATTCTCTCATAGAATGCTTAAAAATATTATATAATTCTCACTTCTTCATTTGGCTTCTTAGTAGATGAGACCCGAAATTCATTGCTTTTCCACTAACTTTTTATTAAGTAAGAATACTGATGGTAATAACAGTTATGTCTCAGCACCAAGCTGAGTACTCCAAATGAATCAACACATTTAATCCTTGAGATTATTTTCCTCCATTTTACAAATGAAAAAAACTTAGTCTCAGGTGGATCCACCCTCAAAAATCTAGCTTTATGACCCTGTTTTTCTCAAAGTTATTTGATTTTGTGATATACCAACTAGCATTCCACAGAAATCATGTTCCTCTGGACATCTGAGAAAATAAATTATAAGAACATTAATGTAATAATATATAGTACTTTACAGTTAATTGTTGCATATACCATCTTACTTAACCCATATGACATGTAGAGGCAGACACTGTAGTTAAAAGTATCTAAGATATTAGATAGACTAAATACTGCTAGCTGTTGTAACAACTACTTAACACAATGAAGATTTTTTTCCCCCCACATCATAGCCCAATGAGGGTTGGAGATAGCGGGCAGCTGTAGGGGAGAAAAAAATAATTTTTCCTCTACCCATCTCAGTTTCATTTGGCTGGGACCCTACAAATTAGACTGAGAAACAACAGATTAATAGGAAAGAAACAGAGTTTATTCAGGTAAAATGGGCACAAAGTTTATTTTTGCTTTTCAGGGGAGAATGGATGAAACCTGACCTAGTGAAATGGACAGAGAATAGGAGAGGAGCAAGTGGAAACAATGACAGGGACAATTCAGAGAAGTCTTGTTGTGGAGGGGAGTAGGGAATAGTGGGAGAGTTTTGTTATTGTTTAGAGAGGTGATATTAAGGTATGTTTTTGTGCTAGTGAGAATGATCCAGTTCAGATGGAGAAAGTTATTATGCATGAAGAAGAAAATAAAAGACGTGGTATGTAGGGAGCATCTTGTCCTAAGTTTCCTGTGATATAGGAGGGAAAAAAAAGCTTCTTCATGATTTAACCACAGGGTACACTCGGGACTCAAGTCAAGAAGCTGGAGGGAACTTTAGGAATCATGGTTACACATCTTTTTCAAGAGTTCTTTATTTTGGCCTTAAACAAAAAATGATGCGGAATTTCCTGACTCATTACAAGTTCAGTGGAGGCAGAGGTATAATATGGAGCAGAGCACTCATATCTTTGGAGGACTACATTAAAGACAGATTTTTTCTTTCCACACGATGATTTCTGACACCTCTGGCTGAGCTATTTGGTTTCAACTATTATACAGAACCATCGTTCTCAGAGTGCGGTCCCCAAACCAGCATCATCAGCATCACCTGGGAATTTGCTAGATGGAAATTGTTGAGCTCCACTTCTGACTTATTGAATTAGAAACTGTGGGGATGCACCCAACAATCTATGCTTTAACAAGATGACCAGGTAGTTCTGTTGCATGCTGAAGTTTGAAAAGCGGTGATACAAAACTAAAAATCTGTGGCTGATTAAAGAGGACCTAGAAACTAGTATTTATTAAGTACATACTATATAGTCTAAAGGCTTTGTATACATAATATCATTTAATTGTAACAGGATCCCAGGGGTTGGGTATTGTTATTTCATTTTCTTATTGTGGTGTTATATATCGATAACAAAACATGCTATTCTAACCAATTTTAAGTGAACAATTCAGTGACATTCATTGTATTCACAATGTTGTTGTTGAATGTAACTACCACCACTGTCCATCTCTACAACTTTTTCATCACCTCAAACAGAAACTCTATAAACATTGAATTATAACTCTCCATTTTTTCTACACCCATCCTCAGGTAACCTCTAATCTATTTTGTTTATAAATTCGACTACTTTATGTAAGTGGAATCATATAATATTTGTCCTTTTGTATGTGGCTTGTTTCACTTAGCATAATGTTTTTAAAGTTCATCCATGTTGTAGCATGTATCAGAATTTTCTTCCTTGCTATGGCTGAATAATATTCCATTGAATGTATATACCACATTCATCTGTTGATACTGTCGGTTAACAAGAATTGTTTCCATCTTTTGGCTATTGTGAATAGTGCTGCGATAAATATTGGCCTATATGTATCTGTTAGAGTCCCTGTTTTTAATACTTTTGCGTTATCCTGGTTTTGAGATGATGAAACTGAGGCTCAGACCAAGCAAAGTGGCCAAGACTAGGAACTGGAAAAACCAGGCCAGTCTGATGCCGTAGCCCCTCCCACTAGCCCCTTTGTCTGAGGACCAGTCCTGTCTACCACCTGTGCCACAAGCTTTACTCAGCACATGTGTGTGTTTTCCTGATCATTCTTTTTTTTCTAATTCTTTAAAGGAAACCAGTTCCACAAATGTTTCCAAGAAGACCTTGCCAGAAATAAGCCGAATTAACCAGCCCCTCATGGAACAATGGATGGCAGTGACAAATGGAAATACTCAACATGAATTAGCTAAGAGGTGGCTGTCTGATAATCATAAACCACTTATTTGGTTCTGAAGTTATGGTCATTCTATCCTAGACATAAGAAAGATAGTTTGGCTTTGTGGTGAAGGCATTTGCATTTTAACCATGATTCTCTGCTGCCACCTCTCAATTCAAAGTCATTGACTTATTCATTCATTGTTGATTTAACAGAGGTATATTGAGGATGTACAATATTCCAGGTACCTTGATAGATGAGGGAGATGTAGGAGTGAATCATAAACACTCTCTGACTCACGAAGCCTTCGCAAAAGTGGACTGTTTTTATATCTTCTATAGTTCATTCTCTGAAGCTTCATGAGTTTCTATTTTCAGAAGTATGGATTTTATTTAAGTCTAGGACTTGATCAAATCAACTATGAAGGGCGTTGGTGAGATTTAGCAGTCACATATACAAAGTATAACCAGCATTTAGAGGATTCTTTGATGAGTAGTTATTTTTATTGATAATGATTCCATATCACCTGTTATATATTCAGACATGAGAAAAAAGGAGGCATGCTTTATAACAGTGGTCCCCAACCTTTTTGGCACCAGGGACCGGTGCTCCTGTGAGGATTTTAATGCCTGAGGATCTGAGGTGGAGCTGAGGCTGTGATGATAGCACTGGGGAGAGGCTGCAAATATAGATGAAGCTTCGCTGGCTTGCCTGCCGCTCACCTCCTGCTGTGTGGCCCAGTTCCTAACAGGCCATGGACTGGTGCTGGTCCATGGCCTGGGGGTTGAGGACCCCTGCTTTATAGTATGTTATAACTTAACCCTTATGTTATTACTTTTGCAGTGAAATTAGAGTGATATTTTCATCTCCTGCTTGTCTGACTGCAAGCTTTTTAAAGAAAAGGTAATATTTACCTTCATTTTAAAACACTGGGAAATTTTTTTAATGAAATCTTTCAAGTCAGTCATTTTAATTTGTGAATTATGCTATTTACGAACTAAAGTCCAATGTAGAAAACCCATGGGTTGTTACAGAATCCTTCCATTTCTATTAGACCACTATTAAGTTGTAATTCGTAAATCACATCGTTTACCTCCTCTGTCCTGTCTCCTCTGTTATCTAGTTAGAAGGAATGGTGTTTTTTCAGGATCCTTGTATCTACAAGTGATACAAATGAATGTTAGTTCATTCTAACATGGCTTTAGTACTAGGACGTACTTTGTAGTTCTTATTGTGATGGGATCAATAAGGAAAATAGATCCTATTTATTTTATCTTTAGTCTTACTACTGTAGAGGAAAGCCTAACTTCTTTCCTATTAGATTTGCCACTTGGTCTGATCCTATAGTTGCAAAATACGCAACCTTTTGTCGACTATGTCTTCTCCTCCTTCTATGCTTGCCAATACTGTGCCTAAGAACTGTTAATAGATAAACTGAGGCATATTAAACTTCTTATTTGAGCAAATATTGATTTGAATGGGGCAGTGCCAAACTGGAAGTGGTTAGGAGCACTCTGCTGACAGGAGCCAGGGGAAAGACTTATGTAGAAAAAATGCAGAAGAAAAGAAAGGAAATTATTTGACTGGCTGTAGTTTAAAGCCTGTTGGCTATTTGTGACTGGTTGTCTTTAGGTTTTGATTTCATAACTTTGAAGCATTTACAGGCTTAGATTTTGGTTTGCTTATGTAGTCTGCCACAGCATTAGAGCCACTGCAGTCTAATGGCCTCCTTGTTAAATTAATTTAACAATATATAAAGGAGGAGAAGGGAAGATAGCAGCATGAAAGGACCCTTAGTTTGCCCTCTGCCTTCTCTGGGGCCAAGGCCCTGCTGGTGTACTTGAAGCCCGATATAACTCATTCCAGTCCTTCTTCTAGGTCAAGTCTCGCCTCTCACTTGCTGAGTTGGCTTCAAGCTGGCTCACTGGTTCAGAAGATAGTTGTACACATTTTGTACCCCCTTTTGGCCACTATGTGGTACTCGCTTAACCCCTGTTGCAGCTATTCCTTGCCCCCACACAACCCACAGTTGTCCCGTTGGTTCTTAACCCAGCTGCATTCTTAGCCACTCCAACAACTTCACCTGTGAACCAGAGAAGCACAGGGAAGTTAACTTTCATAGCTTCCCATTGGCAGCTCATGAGACAGTATCTTCCTGGAGCCCCAAAAAGCATCCCTGTTCATCTTCACATATCCTGGGCAGAAGTGGGAGAAGGGAAACTGGGGACACTGCTTCCTTCTGCCTTCTCTCCCTCGCTTTCCTTTTCATGCCATCCTTCAGGCTGGAACAAGGACTCTACCATACAATGCATTATTCTCATTCTTCCCTACTCTAGCCTCTTTATACACTAAGAATATTATCTTTTAAAATGGAAATGTACCCTCCCAGCAATGATGAACCTCAAGGTTTGGTCTTTGATGCTCCTCTGATGCCAAAGGCTGCAAAAGAGAATATATTTTAAGGGAGAATTTACAATATTTTGATTTAGTACTTGCATAATATTTTAGCCCTGGTATTATTATTGATTGGTTAATCTAGCAAGCATAAAACATTTCTTGATAGAACATTATAAAAATAAATTGTTTGGCAGAATGCAGGGTCATCAGATATTACCAACATAACCCAGGGAGGCATGATACGTAGACACTGCTTTGATAGTGTTTCTGAGGGGAAGGCAAGGTTGGAATTTACTAGGAATTGGTAGTTTGGTTTAAGGCAGGTTTTTCAATATGGGAGGGAGAAGCCAGAGGCTTGATGAGGACTAGGAAAAGATACAAGGATCCTGGATGGATGGAAACAGCAAGGTGAAGACTTTAAGGCAAGAGATTCAAAGAATTTTAGGGCATAAACTGTCTGCGATGCTTTCCATTGAAGAGTTAATAGGTCTTTTCAGGAAGTTCCTATAATGAACCATCGAGCCATTTGCCTGGGCAAGTGTGTCTCTTGGAATAGTAAAGTCATGCTAATGAAACAGTGGAATCCCAAAGTAATGTAAATGTGAGGGTAAGAAATGGGGTGGTGGTGGTGGTGGTTTCAGTCTCTGTGTGGGACTGAGTGTGGGGATAAATTGTTTCAGTCCTCAAATGCAGCAGATAAAATTTTGCTATTATTGTAGCCCAAACTTGTAGCCCAAACTAGATGTTATCTACTCTCTCTTAGGAGAACATTAATTTTATAAGTGTTTTTTGTTTGTTTGTTTGTTTGTTTGTTTTGTGCCAAGTAAATTGGTTATTTCGAAACGGCAGCAAGCTTTAAGAAAAAAGTTTATAACTGATATGCAATAAAAGAAAACTAAATAATGATATATGAAGTTTAGAAATAGTCTTTCTCATCTCTTTATGTGTGTGTGTGTGTGTGTGTGTGTGTGTGTGTGTGTGTGTGTGTGTTTTGTATTTCTTGTATCCAAAGAGAATCTGGAAAAACAAATTCCATTGATGTGGACTTACAAGTGGCAAGAGATACCTTCGAGAAGTTAACAAAAAAGAAGTGGATTTCTTTGATGGTAATAGTCAATATTTACTTGAGAAATAGAGCAAAAGAAGTTCCTTACAGAAACCAATATGATTGCAGTTTAATTTTGTTGGGAGCTGAGTGAGGGGGAACTGATAGGGGAGGGGCTAGTATTCATTATGGGGGTGCTATATTCCAGACACTGTATTAGCGGCTGGCTTTAATTTTCTTTTTGAACACTTAAAGGTACAGTAGATGACAATATTTTTATCTTCAATATGAGAAAACCAATGCTCGAAAGGTACATAACCTCCAGCATGACTTATGAAAAGAGCACTAGTTTGGGAAGCAGGATAACCTTATTCTGGACTAGCAGACCAAAAAGGCCGGTCTCTGTTTTGCGATGAATCTCAAATCTAGTTGAGATGAATCAGCTACTGATTCATCTTTTATCCTCTTTGGGTCATATTTCCTTTATCTGTAAGTTGAGTTCATCTTTAAGGTCTATTCCAATTTAATATTTTGTAATTCTGGGTTATGTTGGAAGGAAAACTTTCCCTCTACCAATTTAGGAATTTGGGGGGCCCGCAAATTAGCAATAGGCAGATTAACAAGAGCACTGAAAACAAGTTTTATTCTCATGCCTGTGGGAACATTCAGATGAAAAGGCTCCAGTACAGCTAGGGATGAGGGCTTATATACAAACCTAATAGGGAAAGGGAGCGGGGAGAAAGGGCTTCAATGTAGAGAAGTGACAAGAACTTTGAGCTTCTAGGAGTACCAAATTATGGGAAGGCAAACATATGGGGAAATCATGGTAGATCAGAGCTAGTTAGTAAGGTTTGTGTAGACTCTTTCTCAGTGCCAGCTCATCTCTGCTGATAAGGCCATTATCCCTTTCCTGGTACAGGAAGTTAGGGCAGAAAGATACCTTCCTCCTCAAAATTTATATTCTGTTTTCGGGTAGATAGAGAGAAACCAGAGAGCTTGTTCTGTGTCTGCTTTTTCTCACTTGCCTTCAGCTCAAAATAATCTTCATGCCAGAGTGGCATATTCTAAGACCCTTCCCACCTCTGCACAGGTTCACTCAGGAGTGACTCGGCCTCCTTCTTTCTGGAGTTCTAGGCTCTGGGGCCATTAAATCCTCTAGCAGATCTTTTATGTTTGGTTGGCAGATTAGGAAAGAGAATATGTAAGATCACACGAGAGGTTTTAGAGGGGGCCATGCCTGGAAGTACCATCTATCACCTTCACTCACATTTCATTAGCTAGCACTTAGTTACATGGCCCCACCTAACTGCAGGGGAGGCTGGAAAATACCATCTTTCTGTGAACCGAGGAGGAAGCTAAAACAAGATTGGTGAGGTGAACATATGGCATCTTCTCTGCCATGGTAGATTTTAGGTCAGATAGATCTGGATATGGATCCCTGATCTGTCTCTTTCTAATTGAGCAACCTCTACGATTCACTCAGTATATAAATGCGTGATTTACTTTTATTTCTTCATGCACCAGCTCTCACATACTACTTTAGGGGCATTTAGGATGCAAGGAGTGATGGAGTTTGAAAAGTAGGTTTCAGGAAACCTAAATGATTATTCCAATAGGAAAGTGGTTGAATGAAACCCCTGATTCATTCCTCATCTTAGGCCTTTCCCTGATTCTCTTTCAACTGCAGATAACTACATATCTCAAGGATAATCTGCTCAGAGCTCTTCCATATCGTTCTCTACACCAAGAAGCGTTATCAATTTTCCTTCTGCTTCCACAATGTCCTGTGATGCATGATTCTGGAAACTGGAAAATGGTGGTTCTGTTTGCAGAGGCTGTTTGTAAAATGAGTGACCAGTCTTTAGGAGTCCTGAGTAAGTTCGATCACTTGTATATCACTTTATCTGTACTCTCAATAGAGAGTCACTGTTTTAAGTAGAAGTTATAGCAAATTTTATGTAGAAGATTTCAAAATATACAAATGTTTAAGTACATGGTATGTGAATTATTGTGAATAGATTAACCTAAAGCTATTATAATCATTACTATTATCATGCAAAGCATGTGTAATGGCTCTGACATTCGTTTAATAACCATAGAGGATCCAGTCGAGATAAAGCCACACTTTAAAATTTTTTGCTCATGTTGCTTTAAAGCTTTAGACATTTTAACCAAGGGTGATGAAAAAGAAATATTAAGCTTTGTGTTCTTGTTGTTTATTTTATTCACTACTATAGGATGTCCTACAATTTTGAGCTAGTGTTCAAGGTCCAAAGCTAAAAGATACAAAGCATACACACACACACACACACACACACACACACAAATGTATTTTTTTTAATGGCAGCATACCATTCACATTCTTTGGCAACTTGTTTTTTTCGCACTTAACAGTATATCATGGAAATCGTTCTGTTATTGGACCAATAGAACTGTTTTATTTTATTTAATGGCTGAATTGTATTCTGTTGGGAGGATATATTATGGAGAGTTGTTTTTAAACTTTTGCTATTGTAACAGTAGCAAAAGTTTTGTAACAGCTAACGTGCATTTCTTTGCACATATATAAATTGTAACAGCTAACGTGCATTTCTTTGCACATATATAAATTTACACAGGCAGGGAAAATTCCAGAAAGCAAAATTACTGGGTTGAATTGAATATGCATTTTAAATTCTGAGAGATTTTGCCAGATGACCCTCCACAGAAGTTTGAGCCACCATGTTGCACAACTTTAAGTGACCAACATTCACGTTGTAGTCTAAGTAAATTGCACCCCTGGAGTTGGGCAAAGTGGCAGCCTTAATAGAGGATGTATCAGTTTACACTTCATCAACAAATATGAGAGCATTAGCTCATGCACTGTTCGACAGTGTTATCAAACTGGGTTTTCCCATTCTGAAAAAAAGAATCTCTTAATTAAAATTTTCCTATTATGAATTAGGTTGTGCTCATTTTCCTACATCTCAGTTCCATTCATATATCATATTCTGGGACCTATCAGTTCTTCCCTCTTGCCCATTTTTCCATTTGTTGCTAGTACTTTTCTTTTTTACTTAGGAACTTTTAAACTATTAAGGCAGCTAATCCTTTATCAATAATATGAGTTACAAATTTTTCTTAAGGTTATTAAATATTTTTTTCTTTTGTGTCATTTTTGCCATGCATAATTATTTTTGAACATTTTTATGAAGCCTAATATATTAACATTTTTCTTTATGGTTCTGAGTGAGTAATACTTCAAAAAGACTACCTTACTCTGAAACTAAAAAAAAAAAGAAGTTCCTATGCTCCTATTAGAATTTTTATTGTTTCATTTTTATGTTTAAATCTTTGATATGTATACACTTTATCTTGATTAAACTTTATTTTCCACTGGTCCCTAGCCATTTAATGAATAATGTTTCATTCCCACTAATATGCAATGCCACTTTTATCATATAATAAAGTCTCATGTATATTTGGATCCATTTATGGAATTTCTGTTGCATTGATCTGTTTTTCATGCATCTAGGTCATACTATTTTAATTATATTAGCTTGATAATGTATTTTAACAATTGATAGGTTTCTTTTCTGAGAATTGTCCTTTAAAGGTACAATAATCCAGGTAGTAACCTCAGTAATATTAAAATATTGTTACTGGGATAATTTTAAAAATATAGACATACATACCAGGTGTTCATAAAATCTGAAGGCATAGATAATATTTACAGACTGAAAATGTCTGATAACATTATATATGTATGTGTGTATTCACCTATGTATGTTTTCAGACTTTATAAATACCTTATAGAATTTTCAGTTTGAAAATCATGAAATCAATCAAGTAATCAAGCATAAATATGATTTATCAGCACATTTCTACAGAATCTCAAATTTGAGCTTTTAATTTCAATGATATTTAACCAGGGGAAAAAAATTTTCTGTAATAAATGTTGCCCAGGATGATATCCTTAAAAAAGATATTTTATGGATTACGCCATCAGAAATAGAAGATATTATCTATTTCTCACATCAAAGCACCCAGTTAAAACTGAAGAAGGTTTTGTTTGTTTGTTTGTTTTTGTGGGGAAGTATATATTTATCTTGGCTGATTTTACATCCCTCAGAGAAGTGTTGGGCATCTTTGCAAGAATCTTCTCTTAGTGCACTGGTCCAGATGCTTAAAACTGCTGTCATTGCTCAGCTGAATTATTGGAATAGAACTGAATGGGATAATCGCAATGTTATAGCTCTTCTAAGAACCATGAAAGAAGTGCATAAGGTAAGGGCTCATCTAAAGGAATTTATATACCCTTTTACTAAATCAAAATCCCTTAGGTCTCAGCCATTTAGAATCTTGTTTTGTTATGTTTTTTGCAACAGGAAGGATATTTTATCCAGCCCTTAATAATTCAAAATTTTGCTTGTTTTGCTAACTAAGTAGACTCTGGAGGAATATATTACATATTATATATAATCCGTTAGATGCACAAATACTCGAATATGAGAATGATTCAGCATTCTCATTAGAGTATACAGCATAATGTAGAAATAACCTAAGGTTAAGCTACCAGTAAGCGTAATGTTTGTTGTGGCATAGGGAGGAGCCAGAGCATTTTAAATAAAAGAACAGAATAAAATCACTATTGTTCAATTAAAAAATTAGCTAAAATAAGATGCTTTATAAATATAAATTACTAAATGACAATTAAAGCATATTTTACCACACAGTATCAATCTCCATAGGAGAAAATATTATGTACAAAAGTCAGTGCTTTTCAGAAATACTAATAATGTAGTATTGATATTTCTAAAGTAGTATATTTCTTTTTTTCTCCAGTGTTATTGACATATAATTGACATACAACGTTGTGTAAGTTTATAGTTTATGCATGTTTATTTGATACACTTATATATTATAAAATGGCTACCAACATAGCTTTAGCTAACACCTCCATCACCTCATATAATTACCATTTCTTTATTGTGGTGATACCCTTATGATCTATTCTCTTAGCAATTTTCAAGTATATGGTACAATATTGTTAACTATAATCACTATGTTGTACATTAGATCTCTAGAATTTATTCATTTTATAACTAGAAATTTGTACCCTTTGACCAACATCTCCCAATTTTCCTCACCCCCAAGCCCCTGACAACCATCATTCTACTTTTTTCCTGTAGATTCCACATATAAGTGAATTCTTATAGTATTTATCTTTCTGTTTGCCTTATCTCGTTTAGCATAATGCCCTCAAGGTCTGTCCAAGTCACCACAAATGTAAAGATTTCCTTCTTTCTCATGGCTGAATAAATATCCTAGTGTGTATATATATATATCACATCTTCTTTATCCATTTATCCATCCATGTATGCTTAGGTTGTTTCCTTGTGTTGGCTACTGTAAATAATGAAGCAATGAACATGGGGTTGTAGATATCTCTTTCAAATAGTCTTTCCATTTCCTTTGGATATATACCTAGAAGTGGGATTTTTAAATTTTTCGAGGAACCTCCACGCTGTTTCCATAGTGGCTGCAGCAATTTACATTCTCACCAACAGTGCACAAGGTTCCCTTTTCTCCACATCCTCACCAATATTTGTTATCTCTTGTCATTTTGATGATAGCCATTCTAACAGGTGTGAGGTAATATCTCCTCGTGGTTTTGGTTTATATTTCCCTGATGATTATTGATGTTGAGCACCTTTTCATGTACTTGTTGGCCATCTGTATGTCTTCTTGGGAAAAAAAAATACCTATTCAGTTACTCTGCCCATTTTATAATTGGATTTTTTTTTTTTGCTCAGTTGTATGAGTTGTATGTTTTTTGATATTAATACCTTATCAGATATATGATTTGCAAATATTTTCTCCCATTCCATAGGGTGCCTTTTCATTTTGTTGACTGTTTCTTTTGCTGTGCGGAAGCTTGTTTGATGTAGTCCATTTATTTAGTTTTGCTTTTTTTGCTTGTGCTTTTGGTATTATATCAAAAAAAAAAAAAATCATTGTGAAGACCAATGTCAAGGAACTTTCCCCATATGCTTTCTTCTAGGAGTTTTATGGTTTTATGTTTAAGTCTTTAATCCATTTCGAGTTAATTTTTCTCACTGGTGTAAGATAGGGGTCCAATTTCATTTTTCTGCATGTGGTTATCCAGTTGTCCCAGCTGCATTTATTGAAGAGACTATCCTTTCTCCAGTGAATTTCTTGGCTCTCTTGTCAAATATTCAAGGGTTTATTTCTGGCCTCTTGAATCTGTTCCATTGGTCTATGTGTCTATTTTTTATGCCAGTACTATACTGTTTGGATTACTATGGCTTTATAGTATAGCTGTAAGTCAGGAATTGTGATACCTCTAGAAATGTTCTTCTTTCTCAGAATCTCTTGGACTATTCAGGGTCTTTTGTGGTTTCGTACAAATTTTAGGATTGTTTTTCTATTTATGTGAAAAATGCCATTGAAATTTTGAGAGGGATACATTGAATCTATAGACGTCTTTAGGTAGTATGGATATTTTAACAATATTAATCCATGAATAGGGGATGTCTTTCCATTTACTTGTGTTTTCTTCAGTTTCAGTGCACAAATCTTTCATCTCCTTGGTTAAATTTATTTTTAAGTATTTCATTGTTTTTGATGCTATTGTGAAAGGCCGATTGGAGTCTTAAGAAGACAAATATAAATCATGGGGAGTCAAATTTTTAAAAAGTAATGTATCAAAGGTAAATGTTTGGCATAAAGTAAGTAGAGATTTAAAAAAGCGAGAAACCTTATCAGGACTTAAGATGTTTTGTAGTGGGCTTCTCTCATTAAGAAAAAGTACACATTGCAATCTGTAGTTTTATCCCAAACTTTTTATTTGTTGATCCTCTCTCCTATACATCTGGTTTTTATCTCTTTATATTCTTAGATTCTTTATTTCCTGCCTTCTACCTTTGGATTAGTTTGATTTGATGGATGCTTATTTAGATTATTGATTTTCCAGCATGTCTTCCTCTGAAAGGCTTTCCTGAACCCTTTAAGTCCTTCTCTGATCAGAAACTGTATCCTAGATGCCTGATTACTTGTTGTTTTTACTTAGTAGATCATGTGTCATGGATTGGCAATTTACACCGATGAGCAACCTCCTGTTTTTATAGATAAATTTTTTTGGAACACATCCAGGCTTGTTTTCATATTGTCTATGACTATTTTGTGCCAAATAATGGCAGGGTTGAAGAGTTGCACCAGAGAGTATATGGTCGCAATCTCAAATATTTCCTATCTGGATTTAAGAAAGAGTTTACTGACTACTATATCAGGCAGTAAGTTAATGTGTAAGCCAAGACAATTTTTAGCTTCTGTATTGTCCCACGCCTGACAAATAGTGTGTGCTAAATTAATATTCATCAATTAATGGAGAAAGGGCTGAATTTGTCAAATGTACGTTGGATTTTTATGGTGCTTTTATTCTCAAGATCTAGAAACTGTTTCCAGTAAACCTGTGCCCTAAGAATTGAATTACTAATCTCCACTGCCAACATCTTATATCTTTTATAATATTTATGAAAATTGGAGAAATTGTAGATCAAACAATGGAAGTTTTATAGAACTCTATCATCGACACATGCATAGGGTTTTTAGAGCTCTATTCTGATTATCTATATAATAACCACATATATAATAGATTAAATCATTTATTGATAGAAAATGATATTTATGGGTCATATTCTCTTTAAGGCTAATAAAACTAACAGTCAACTACCAGAAAATGCTTTCAACATAAATGAACTCTCCAATTGGTTGAACTTTCATGGAAAAAGAAAACTAGTGCTCTTTAAGGATAATAACATGGTAAGAGTAACATTTTTTACTTCTGAAAATTTTCATTTTTTAACGGGGGACACATTAGGAGCTATGTAGGTGTCTCTTTGATTAATCAATATTTGAACATTTCTTTAGTACAATGCTGAATTGTTAAATTAAATGATCATTGAAAACTTAAACAGCTTTCACTCACAAAACAAATGCATTTTCTTAGCAATTTGTTTCTAAGTAATTTGGATGTTTAAAAACAGATTCCAAAAAGTATAGAGGGAAATAATTTAAGGTGATAAGGTAAAGGAATGAAGTTCTTCTTTTCTTTTTATTATCAAAACTGTTACCTTTATTTTTTTTAGATAACTGAAGAAAAATATATTTTCAGTGAATTTCCATTTATCTTTAATTTACTATCCAAAATTAAATTATGGCAAGCTGATTCTTATTTAAAAATGCAGGTAAGTATGCCTTACTTTTTTTATTATGTAAAATTTCAAACATATACAAGATAGAGATAGTGGTGTAATGAACCCCATCACAAAGTTTCAGCAGTCATCAGCATTTTGCCCACTTTCATCTATCACTTTTGATGAAAGTGGGCTGTTTTTGTGGTTGTTACAATTTTGCCAAAAGTATTTTGAAGCCAATCCCAGGCCCACTTTCTTTTCACTCTCTGTACTTCATTATTTCACTCTTATTCATGCTAAGATTCATCAGGGGGTTCAGTTGGTGACCACATGATTCTTCCAATGTAATGTTTCCCATCAACCATTTACTTAATAATTCCATCTATTATTTTGAGGTTTGCAAAATGGCAATATTTCTAATCTTATCATTCCTTCTAAATTTATAAACTGAATTGTTTCAGTTTATAAATTTAAAGTAAAGAACTTTTCCTTATTAATTAGAGCCCTTTGGCTACTCTAAAAACTCATTCATGTAGGAAGGTGGAATGATGCATAACCCTTTTTCTTAAATTATTAAATGTTCTGTACATAGAAGTTGTACCAATTTATGTTACTACCAGAAATGTATGAAATGCCTCTTACATACACTCTCATCAATACAGAGTGTTATCAGGCTTTGTGATCTTTTCCAATTTGATGGGTTAACCATGCTATTTCAGTTTAGTTTTCATTTATATTTCTCATTATTATATGATGCCTGAGTCCTCACTTTCTTTAGATAATATCCATTGTTTTCCTATATGAGCAATACTGAAATGATCAACTAACTGCTCTTTCTCTCTTCTCTATCCAGTTTTAGTTCCTATACTGTATTCTTAGTTGTTAGTATTTGGATTTTTGGATTTGCTTAAGAGTCTTAGATTTGTAAGCCCCAAGTGATTCTTTTATCTTCAGATAATGCCTATGAATCAATCAGTGAGGTTATTCTATTTTCCACTTACTCTCTCTCTTCTGTTCTTTTTCTGGTAGTTGTATTATTCCCATATAACACTTACATGTTATTTTGTCTCTCTTGTCATCATCAGCTCATCAGCCTTAGTTCTCAGTTATGCTCACCCCGCCCCCAGACATATGCTAACAATTTTTCAAATGTGTTTTGATTGCTGACACTTGTTTTCTAGGCCATTCCTCATGAAAGGTTCACATCTATTTATCATGTTTCTACTTTAAAGACATGTAGGAATCAGAAAAATACCCATGACTTTTACTAATAATTCAAAGGATATAGGCCTTCTAGGTGAAACATGGAGAAGTCTGGGATATCACATGCACAAAAGGATACCTCGTTAATTCCATAGCTTATATGACTTTTTTCAATGAGCCATGCCTGATAAATCTATAAATTCCACATCTATTTATAATAAGCATCTTAGATGGGCAAAGTACATCCTGCTAAAAGCATTCCATAGATAAGGACTCTCCCTCTAGTTACTGTTATTAGTATCTGTCATCAGATTAGACTTTTGTTTTGGACATCACTTTTGTTTCCCAGCCATCTCTCTTTTAAAAAATTTCCTAACGTCCCTGGTAATGGAAGAAAATAGATTATTTCCTTCCCAAACTTAACTTCCCCTTAAGTTTCCTCTAAGCAAGTGCTGCCCTCTGTGGTATTTTCTTCTACAGCAATGTTCTGTCTAACCTGTTTACTCTGTCACTAAGGGTTGAGTAGATAGTGGACCTACGCAGGTTGTATATCATAAAGGATAGGGCAATGTATGAGGACAAGAAAACTCTTAGTTGCAGTTGTCATGAGTGAGGTTAAAAAAGACTGCAGAATCTTTTCCTCCAAAGGAGAGATGATGGACATAGTCAAAATTGTAAGTTCCAAACTGGATTACCAATTCAAATGCATAAATGTAGAAATGTGAAATCAATACATGGAGTATAGGAGTAGAGAAACTGGGAAATAAGATATAATGCAGGTTTCTAGTCCAATTCTTGGTTAGGTGAGAGAAGGGTGGGCCTACAGCAGGCCACATACACCTCTCCCTGCTGTAGTCAGTGGAGGATATTGCTGGCTACCCCCTGTCACTTAGAGCCCAGGAAATGTTGCTTAGCAGTCAGTATTACTGAAATGTCACAGAGCTGCAGACTCTTGGGCTCCAGGAGATGATTCACTACCAGGAAGGACCAGAAATGGCACTTGTTCCATCTCCCTACAAATGTGGAGCTTCTTTACAATGAACATCTTAGGGAAACACAAAAAAAATCTAGTGGAATCACATATAATTTCTCAGTATATAGTGGTACCAGGATCTAGGATAGGGCTTTCCCGAGCCCAGTGCCACACACACACTTCTCTGAGATGCTTGTAGAGTACTAATGTGGGCAACCACATCCAGCCTGGAAACCTAGAATAGGATAAGCACAGGCCCCAAGAGGGCCATATTGGTTTATGAGTCCTAAATACTCCTTTACTATTCCCGTGATATAGCTGAAGTCCTAGAGAATGTTAAAGGTCAAAGCAAGGATAATAATTCTAACACTAGGTTTCTAATCCAAGGGATTTCAGCAGAAACAAGAAAACTAAAGTGGTAAGGACATGTTGAGAATGCAGAAAAGCTTAATGGAAGTATTATGTAGGGTGACAGAGAACAATGCTAGAAAGAAAATGAGGCCACCAGTGGCATAATTTTAGGAGCCCCCATGCAAATTTGGTAGCTGGATCATAGTTATTTAAAGAAGTGTGGATCTTCTCTGTGCAAGTCTTTCCTCTAGTCTTTTTTTCCCCACATCTAACATTATCCATGAGCTCCTAAATTGCTCTTATATGATAGAGGATTACTGTGCTAACACTATGCTTAAGACTGGTGGATGAATGTCTCAGAATGTTGAATACTGCTATTGCTTGATTACTTAGCTATACATCTATGATGATTAATCCCCTGTACACAATTCCTAGTACCATAGTTTTATAGATCCTACGATCTCTTTATCTTACACAGTGTAGATATGATGCCCTTTTCTTTAAATAATTATAGTATATGAGTATATAGAGCAATGATAGGCATAATTGTATGCTATACAAAATAGGTTTATTTGAAATAGTAAACACTTCCTAGTATTCCTATGAGGATTCCTAAATATTTCTTTTCTAGGGGCGAAAAATGAACGGGCAAATGATTCTACCAAAAGAGAATGAATTCCCTCCATTACCCATATTTACACTTAGAGTCAGGCGAACCCACCTAACTGAAGATGCTCTGCGTCAGTTAAGCCAAGCTGAAGTCACTGACCTCCAGAAACCATTAGTGGTATGGTAAAAAGTCTCACTGGACATTTTTAATAATGTGGGAGGGAAACATTTACATAATATAGCAAAGGAAGAGCCTACATTTACAACTATAGTTATCAGCCTTATGATTTCCAGAATTCCTTGCTTACTCTTCAGAGAAAAGCTACGGGATGTTTAACTGCACATTGGGATTATGAGTTAACTAACAGTTACCAATGGCTATAAAATATTGCATAATGAATCATCCCAAAGCTTAATGACTTAAAAGTAACAATATTTTATTTTACAGATCTGCAGCTCAGATAAGGGTCTGCTGATCTAGGTTGAAAGCTACTCATCTGGGTAGCTTAGCAGATTTTGTATGCACGTGTTTACATGTTTACAAATTGGCTAGTGATTGGCTGATTTAGGCTAGGCCTGATGGGATAGTTTGGCTTTGCCTCCTATGTTTTTCATATTCTTCCTGGGATCACAGCAGTGCCAGAAGTACACGATAGCAAACCCAGTCAGATGACAAACATTGCTTTAGTCAAAGCAAGTCACATGGCTAAACCTACAGCAAGGGCTGGTGTAATATACTCAGCCTCTATAATGAGAGGAACTGCAAAATCACATGGCTATTTGGAACCAATATAGCAGTGGAAGGTCTATAACTAAAACTAGAGCCAAAATGTAGGAAAAGTATCTGTTCCACTTGCTGCTTGTTGATTGCATTAATAGCCCCAATTCTCATACGGGTGCCTGCAGGAATTTTATTGTGTGTTACCTCAGCTTATTTTCCCAATTGAGGCCATAAAATAATGACTAACTCTGTAGATTAGAGCTGGAGTCTGTCTAGAAGGGAGTGAATTTTCCTGATATCACCCATGAGGGGGTGAGTTAGGTTCTCAGAGAAGAAACCAGAACCTGGAGGGTGAGACTCAGACAGAAGAGGGATATTTCCCAGCATGGGACTCAAATGGGAAACACAGTTAACTATATTATAAGGCAGACTTTCCAGTTGTATGTCTACCTCAATATCTCCATTCTTTTAAATTGTGACTATGTGGAAATGAATAGAAAATGATTCTGTCTACAGGAAATGACAGAAGTAAGAAGGTAAAGTTCAAGAGAGATCTAATCAAAATATAGACTGTGAATGAGGCAAGGCTGTAAAGGCTCATGATGAGTTTGTCCTGACTACAGCGAAGGCAGACTTGCTAGAAATAGGAAAATCAGAAGAAAGCTTAATTTGTTATTGGAATATCCAGATGGAATGTGACACAGGCCCTTGGAGATTATAGTCTCTGGCCAAAAAGTAGGTTGATCAAAGTGGCAGCAGTTAAGATCTTCCAGGCAAGGAGTAGAGAAAGAGAACTCTTAGTCAAGCTTAGTGATGCTTATATTAAAAAGATAAAAAGCAATTAGCCAGGAAAGGAAGTAGAAAAAGAGAGGCAAGCTGGGAGTGTACTTGACCACAAAGCCCAAAGGTGGACTTTAAAATAGAGGGACTAGAACATGGTTCCATAGTGTAGCGGTTAGTACATCTGCTTTACATGCAGAAAGTCCTGGGTTCACACCCCAGGGGAGCCATGGTCCATGGTCTACGGCCATGCCACCCTGAACAAGCCCGATGTCTGATCTCGGAAGCTAAGCAGGGTTGAGGCTGGTTAGTGCTTGGATGGGAGACCACCTAGGAAGACCAGGTGCTATAGGCATAAATAATTATAATAATTAATAATAAAAAAGTAAAAATAAATAAAATAGAGGGACTAGTTCATATTGATTTCCCACAAAGGATTATGGGCAGTCAGGTCTGATGGTTTCTGCAAAGGTGCCAGGCCCAGGCTGACCGGAAGAACTGTTTATCATAAGTCCCAATGAGGGGAGAGGCAGGAGAAACCAAATAGTTACTGACTGGAGCTAAAGTTGTGAAGTCTAAATGATGAGATGCAGACAGACAACATGATAGAAAAATCAGGGGATTTAGTGGCCTAGGGGTTTGAAGCACATCAAAATTTGTTTCAAGATGCTGGTCAACATGCTAGAATCAATTCCCTTTACTTGGTTCATGTGGCAGTGTAAAGAACCCATGCACTAACTATACAATAATCTGATAATAGATAGGTTCATGGCATCTTAGTAGCAAGTTGAGGGAGAACAGATGCAGTGAGGTAAGGGGAATGGGATTCTGGGAATTCTGGTGACTGCAGGAGGTTTGAAATTTTTCCATAAAGATCAAAGCATTATATTTTAATCCTCAGATTGAATTTATTAAATCTCTTTCCTCAGATTGAATTTATTAAAGAAATTCGTTCTGAGGGTGTAGGGGTAAAGTCTGAGTTCTTCCACTGTATATTTGAAGAGATGACAAAGACAGAATATGGAATGTTCATATATCCTGAAGAAGGTTCCTACATGTGGATTCCTGTCAGTGTAAGTATTTTACCTATTTTCTTACATTTTTTTCAGAACGAAAAATGTATACCATACACTGCAACATGAGAACTATACATAATAATGTAAACTCAGGTCATATACAGCCTTGCTACTCAAAATATGGTCCACAGAGCAGCACCTCTAGCATCACCTGGGAGCTGTGAATAAAGCAGAATCTCAGGCCCTACCCTAGATCAGACCATGTATTTTAAAAGATCCTCAGGTGAATCATATGCATATTAAACTTTTAAACAGCTTTAATGAAGTATATTTGAGATACAATAAACTGCACATAAATTGTCTAATTTGATATACATATATACCCATGAAACTTTCACCACAATCAATGAACATATACATCATCCCCCAAAGTTTCCTCATATCCTATACCTCTACTGCTTCTGTTCCTCTCCTGCCTTCCACTCCATGTCCAGGCAACTACTGTCACTATAGAGTAGTTTGAATTCCCTAAAATTCTACCTAAATGGAGTCATAAGTAGTCTTTGAGTCTGTGCTCTTTCATTCAGCATAATTTTGTTGAGACTCATATATGTTGTTGTATGTATCTATAGTTCATTCCTTTTTATTGCTGAGTAGTATTCCATTGTATCGCTGTACTACACTTTGTTTATATAGTCACCTATTGGTGGATATTTGAGTGGTTTCCTAAGTTTTGAGAGGCAGTAATCTAGAATGTCTCAAGTTAGAGGAAATTATTAATAGAATCCTAGAAATAATTGCTAATTCTAATAAGATGATTCCTTTCTGCAATGACTATATTTTTATAAAGATTCTTGAAATGTAAACATTTCCTTAAAGTAACAAAAACTTGTCTTCATTTTTCTTTTAATAACACAGAGTAAATAATTCTAAAAAGGATCACATGTTGAGCTTCAATTTATTGACCCCCCTTTCCAATATACTTCTAAATGTTCTTTCCAATGACATGGTAGAAGTTTGGAGCCCAGAGCACTGAGAAGAGGAGAAAGATGAATGGGTGTGAAAAAGTACTGAAAAGTGTTTTGTATCTTCCTGAGAAAGAATGAACCTCTAAATGGTCAAGGTGTACAAGTGGTAGGATTTTTATCAGTCAGTCGACAAGCACTTATTGACTCTTTCTATAAGTTCTACATTGTATTAAATATTGTGGGAGATTCAAATTAGTATATGACACAATCCCTTTCCTCTTGAAACTTTTTGCATATGTAAATGGAGTGATAAGACTATCACTTTAGGAACTTTAGCAATTGTTTCTAAATTATGGATTGCTGACTATGTGTAATTTTTCAGCATGGTAGGATGGGGAAGGAAGCACTGGTGTAGAATTAGAAGCCCAGAGTTATAGTCCTGAGTGATGGGTGTGTCATTTAGCTTCTTTGAGTTTTCAGTTTCCTTACTTATAGAATAGCTGTCATAATTTCTGCTCTGCCTATACAGGACCATTGTGAAAATGAAACAAGATATGGTATTTATCCAAGTATGAAAGCACCATGAAAACTTTAGGGCAATATCCAAATTTAAGAGATTCTTTATTAGGACAGAAAAAAATCAAGGGGGATTGAAGTGATTGGAGAAAATGTCATGGAAAAGTAGAACACCCGAGGTTTATATTGAAGGCTAGGGACAAAATAGATCAAAGAGATGTAAATGGGGGATGGAGAAGAGAAAAGAAACCTCATATCAACTATGTGAGGTGGGTAGTTTGTCCCCATTATACAGATAAATAAACTGAGGTTCAGAGAGATTAAATAAACTAGACATTCAACTAGCAAGTGACAAAGCTAGGATATGAATTCGGGACTGTCCAACCCCAAAACCCTTACTCTTAAGCATTGTGCTATACTGCTAGAGGGAAAACAGACAAAAGTCTGACTTGTGTATGGCTCAGTGAAGAGATAAAATCACTAGAACCAGAGGATATGTTACAACTACAGGAAATAAGACTGAATAGGTTAGAGGAGGTCACCTTCAAAGAGTACTTGTATTTTTAACTCATTTTCAAAATTCAAAGGTATTTTTAATATTTATCCTATCAATTACTCTAAAAAGAAAATAGGGCAAGTAGACTGAGGCACAGACTATTATGTGAGTTCTCCAGAGTCATGCACCTGCTAACAGCAAGGCTGTCACTGGGATCGGAATCTTAAGAATTTGTAGGCTAGTGATCTCTCAGGTGGGCTGTAGTGATGGCCTGGCCATTTGTGGCCAGTGTTTTCCTTCACCTGGGACTACAAAGTACAGAAAAGAGAGTGAAGCCAATTTCATCAGGCCTCTTTTCTTCTTCTTTCCACCCACCTGCCTAGTCAACAGCATCAGTCACCTTCCCTGACCCATATGCTTGTCCCTGTAAGCACACCTAGGTTGAGGGCTATATTGCCAAAGGGGACACCACTCATCAGACACATATCTGACATACCTGATGCCCACTGAAAGTATAGATAAAGTATACCCTTTCATCCACAGTGTCACTTTTCTACATGAATTTGAAGGCAAAGACTGTAGTATTAAATATTGAAAACCTTAGTTTATAAGGCTATCTGAGTGTATATTTTTATATTCCAGATATGCTATTAGTTACAAAAAGTAAATTCATTTATTTAATATTCTGAACTCTTAATTCGCATTTTAACTTATGGAAGAATTTTAAATTGTATTATAGGCTGTGCAAGAACCTCAAATTTTTACTTTCCTGAAGCTCATTTTGTTTCTAATTTGTTACTTTTATAAAAGGGAACAAAAAAACAATTTGTACTAATCTAATTATCCCTTTGGATTATTATTATTGATTATTTATAATACATTAGGGATTTTTTTCATCTCCTTTTCCAGCCTAAATTTGAGAAGAAGAGATATTTCCTCTTTGGAATGTTGTGTGGACTCTCCCTATACAATTCAAATGTTGCCAATCTTCCTTTCCCACTGGCTCTGTTTAAGAAACTTCTGGGTCAACAGCCATCATTGGAAGATTTAAAAGAACTCAGTCCTCTTTTGGGGAGGTCAGTAAATGGTTTTCCAGGACTATATCTAGGAAGTCTCAGTCGTTTAGGCATAAATGATGTTACATGCACACACATGCACACACATATGCACACACACACAAACAGACAAGGTCTTCGATTTGTATGCTCTTTAGATGAATTTGAATGTTTAGCATGACTTCTAATCAAGTAAACCTTCAAAAATGTAGAAAAGCCAAATGTTTCTCTAATTATCAAGTGGTACAATAAACAGAGACTGGTCTCTTGAATTTATCAAGATGGAAACAGTTGCTTTTGACAGTACACAATATTCTTAATGAGAATCATGCATGCTATATTCATTTTGAGTAAATCTTATTTAATCATATTTAATTTATTTAAATAAATCAGCATGTCATCGACTTTATTTTTTAAGGATTGGAAAATGCTTGTTCTGATTTAAAAGGCAAACTATGTCCTGTGAGGAAAATACTGGCAACCTATATATAGACAAAGGATTAGTACCTCTGATATATAAATATGTATGTGACTTATCACACAGATGTATATATATGGCTAATCAAAAAATGAAAATATGCTCAATCTTACTAGTAGTAACTGAGGAAATACAAATGAAAATGAGATGTTATTTTTCTGTTTATAGATTGACAACTGTTAAAAGGTTTTTCATAAAATACAGAGTTGATAATAGATTGGGAAAAAGGATTCTCTTCTCATGTACTGTTAATGGAAGAATAAACTGGCTAGATTTACACTGCTCGCCCTGCAGTCTAAGGCAAGGGCTGAGATTTTGCGCTGGATAACCCTTTCTTGAGGAATGCTGTTCTGGGCATCGCAGGGATGTTGAGCCACATATGGAGTTGCTACCCTCCTCTCACTGTGACAACCAAAGATGTCTCCAGATTTTGCAAATGTCCCCTGGGGGGCGGGGGCAAAATACCCCTGGTTGAATCACTGGTTTTGAGGAAGGGGCTCCTTTTTGTAATTCCACCAACACTCAGCAGTGTCTATGTTTTAGCAGTGGCCTATCCAATCAAAATTGTAAATAGAAGTTAACTCAAAGAAGAGGGAGTGTGAAGGTGGAGGAAGCAATTTACATGGCATTTTATAATGTAGTGTCCAAAATTTTTCAATTGAAAATGTATTACTTTTGAAATTTTATAAGATCAATGAATATAATTTTTGAACCTAAATTTTCATTAGGAATTTGCAAGAAGTTCTAAATGATGAAGCTGATGACATTGGAGAAGAACTTTACATACATTTTTCTGTGAGTATTAATGAATGCCAGGTTATAGTTTAGGTTTAATCTTTTTTAAAAATAATTATTATAGTATCTCAAATATGGGATTCCTTTTTTGGAGAGTATTTTACCTCAGTATTATACGACTTTCCCCCAACCTGTTCCTCATTTAATACCTTGTCTTTGTACTCTTAAATAAAGTGAAAATACAAGCAATTATTTAATCAGTTTAAATAACTAAATGGATCAATATATTCTTAAAAGCAATGTACAACATATGATAGGATAGTTTTTTAATTCTTATATGTATTGAAAAGGCTGAACTACATAAATTATTTAGCTCCCAGTTATTTAAAATTTCATAGGGAAGAATGTACTGGCAATAATGGTATTATAGTTGATTATTCAGACTTTCTTTCATGTTTGCTACCCGAATATATTTATTACAGCTACATTGGGACCACAATGATGTTGATTTAATTCCAAATGGGAGCTCTATACTTGTGGACCAAACCAACAAGTAAGTTTTGAGACCTAGAATATCTGCTTTGAATACACATAAAATGTTTGTATCACTATACTTTATAAATGTATTTTAGCTTCTCAGATGATCATTTTTGCACCTCATCATTTTAAAAAGATAAGTTTACAGGGTAAGAGAAGGAGAGAAAGGAGTCAGAATTAAATATTTCCTTTGCAGCACTTTTCATTAGTTATTCATTCAACAATTCTTTTCGAGTCCCTACTCTGTACCAGACCCTAGTCTAGGCACCATTGATACAGCAGTGAAAAAGGACAAACTCTGGAGCTTAAATTCCAGTAGGACAGAAAGACAATACACAAATTATTATGTAATAGAATGTCAGACAAAGATGAACACTCTGAAGAAAATTAAATCTATTTAAGAGACTATAGAGTTACAGGTGGAGGAGGTATGCTGGAGTCAGCTGGTACCAGCCTGTGAGACCCTGACTGTTAAATTTTTAAAAAATTTGAGAGTTTATTATTAAAGTGTTAGTAGCTTGAAATCAACCATGGTGGGAATATTTATACCACAGAAATCGGTAAATGCTGCAAATAAGGGTTCCTTTTTTCTCCTTTTGGGAGAACTGTTTGTTAAACATTTACCAACACAGTGGATACATGGGAGGGCGAGAGGGGTTAATTTAGATAGGCTCAAGAAGAAAGCTTAAAGAGTGGGAGACTTTCATGTTTCTGGTGGGTATCTGGTGGAAATACCTCCAGTAGCAACTATACCATCAGGAAATTCATCATGTAGTGGACAAGGCATACTTTGCATAAATAATTTTCACACAAATGGCATGTATTGTAAACAGAGAGAGAAAGAGGAACAGAGAACCAAACCTGAGAAAGTCATGTTCATATTGAACTCTGATGAATGATAGACATTCAGGTAAAGAGGAAGTACTGCATGTCGTGGCCTAACTACAAGAGAGGCAGTGAGGCCGGAGATGCAGATGGAAGTGGGAAGAGGCTGCAGAGTAGAGCAAGAGTCAGATCATACAGGGCTTTTTGATCCTGCTAAGGAGGTCTAGAATTTACCGTAAGGGTTAGAAGCATTGAAAGATTTTAAGCAGGAGAATGTCATATTCAGATTAGTGTTTTTAAAATATCCTGACTGTGGCTAGGAAAATGGGAGCAAAACAGTCTTAATTCTTCTGCTGTTCTCTCCAAGGTTCCTTCTAGTTGATCAGATGTTTTTATATCCCTGGGGTAGTACTGGGATGTATGCTATATAGAAGTAATTTACTTTTATTCGCAATAGAAATGGTAAAAAGGGCAGAATAGATAATATTTTATTCACTAGTAAAGTATGTTATTGGCCTTTTTGTTTGTTTCCCTCAAGGAAAGACTATGTTTCTAAGTGTGTTGATTACATTTTCAATACTTCCGTAAAGGCAATTTACGAAGAATTTCAGAGAGGATTTTATAAAATCTGTGACAAGGAGGTACTTAGATTTTTCAAGCCTGAAGAACTAATGACAGTAATAGTTGGAAATACTGATTATGACTGGGAACAATTTGAAAAGGTAGGTGATGACTAAAATGCCCCCAATTCTTCTGAACACCTTCTATATATCCCCCCTAAAAACCATTTTTATCCTTCTTTTTATCAAGAATTCAAATTATGATCAAGGATACCATAAATCACATCCTACTATACTGATGTTTTGGAAAGCTTTCCACAAATTAACTTTGGATGAAAAGAGAAAATTCCTCTGTAAGTATTACAGTAATAGATGGATCTATAAAAAGATAAGTATCTTATTTGTGATGAAGACATTACTAATGGTGGGTCATATGTGTTAGCAGCAAAGCAAGGGTTAGAATCCAGGTTCTCTACCTTTTAAATCAATGTTCTTTCTCTTACATGAGCCTGTTCCCCATTTAAAAAAATGATAATAAATATATCATTATTTTACTAACTTCTCCACAGCCTCTAATCTCACTTCCAGTTTTAGTTTGCATCCTCTTTTTTCACTTTAGTTGGCTCATAATCAAGCTTTTTTACCTCACAGTCCTATCTTCCTTTAATTATCTAAGTCCTATGGAATTAGGATGATGTAAACTGTCTCCAGTACTCTTTTAGAAATAATAATAGCAATGGCCACTGATGATAATAACAGCATTTATTGTCTACTTACTCTATGCCAGGCATTGTACTGATCACTTTGTATCTATTACCTCCCTTTATCCTAATAGCAACTTTATGAGGGTGGGTACTTATTTTTCCCCCATTTCAAATCTGAAGAAAAAGAGGCTTGGAGCATTTAGTAGCATGTCTGTGTTCAGATAGCTGGTGAGTGTCAGAACCTGAATTTGAACTCAACAGAGTTATCCAAAGCCCAGGCTCTTAATCAATAAGCTCTGTGCCCTTGGGGTATAAAAACTTCTCTTGTTGAGAACCCTGTTTCCTTAGGACAATGACTTATTCTCTTACCTCCTCACCCCATTTTTCACCTCTTCCTGTGATATGCATCTTTCTTCTCGCTATTTTTGTTGCTGCTGAGGATGTTGGAGGGCAATTCCAACTTCTCCACAAATCCAAGCTACTTCTCCACAAGCCCAAACTATCTTTCCAATCTTCTCTCTTAATGGGAAACGTTTGCTTCAGCCCAGTGGCTCCAATGTCTGTACATTCAATGAGTTCACTTACATCTTCCTACCTCAGGCTTCTTAGGATTTTACCCCTTGAAAGCTCACTCAGCTCCTCTCCTTGAGAATTAACTAGCCAGACGTGCTCTCTGTGAAGTCTCCCTACCTACTCCAGCCTGGCACATCTCTCCCTGCCCTGAGTCTCGGGGCCTTCATTAGACTCTTCACCTCATACTTCTTGGTTGAGCTAAAACAAACTTCCTTGTGTCTTGCTATTATCTTTTCATGTACTGTTGACCCTTGAACAACATGGGGGTTGGGACAATGACCCCTTCCCTGCACAATGGAAAGTCTGTGTATAACTTTTGACTCCCTAAAAACTTAACTACGAATAGCCTACTGTTGTTGGAAGCCTTACTGATAACATAAAATCGAACCACATATATTTTATATATGTATTATATGCTGTATTCTTACAATTAAGTAAGCTAGAGAAAAGAAAGTGTTATCAAAAAAAAATCATAAAGAAAATACCTTTACGGTATTTATTGAAAAATATCTGCTTATAAGTGGACCTGCACAGTTCATACATGTGCCATTCGAGGTCAACTGTATGTAATTTCCCCCCAGCAGATCATGAACTCACTGAGGACAAAGACCAAATGTTATGATTTTTCTGTGTTCCACATGATCCTTTGTAGCTCTTTCTGCACAAGGGTACTCAATATTCATTGAATGAAGTGATTAATTTCTTCCTTTTCATTTTAAATTTTGCTCTGCCTATGAAATATCTTAACCAAAGATTATTCTTTTCTAGTTTTTCTTACAGGAAATGATAGGCAGACTGTAAAAGGATTACGGGAAATAAAAATCACATTTCGCTGTCCTGAAACTTTCAGTGAAAGAGATTGCCCAAGATCACTTGTATGTCATGGTATTCTGGACCTCCCTAAATATTCTACAATGGAAAGAATGGAGGAAGCGCTTCAAATAGCCATCAACAGCAGCAGAGGATTTGTCTCACCCATGGTCACAGAGTAATAGTGACCTCTGAGAGTCTCAGTGAGGCCTCAGATTCTCAGGTCCTCACTCTTCGATTCTAATATACTTCTTTAGGTCTAATTAGTATAAAGGGTTGATAGATTTTAATTAGGATTAGTTGATAAATGTTGAGATAAACAATAAAGTGATGAATCAAGATAATATTTTTAATGAATCAAAATTTCCTGATCCCTAAACATGCTATTAGAATATTTACTTTTTATTGAATTAGTTCCTGAACAATTACCATTTAAAAATAAGCTAACAGATATTTAAAAAAATATTGTGCTTCTAATAAACACTGCCTGCAAATATTAAAGTTTGAAAAAATAAAATATAAACAATTCAACATGATTTTGAGGCATGTAGAGTATATTTTATATTGTGGAATGTCTCTAGAGTTTTGATTTTAGCCTGAATAATTTATTTGCTGAATAATTTATTTGAAAAATCTAAATGTTAAGGGATTCATTAATTCATTGAATAATTACTTATACTCAATACGGTGTTCTAAGAATCATTCTAAATGTAGATATCATTATTTTGGTTCAATGTTGAGCCCAACTAGGAACTCTTGTCTAATTATAATTGGGGAAATGTTAAGAACCTGAAATATGTTTCAGCCATCATGGCTATAGAATTAATTAAAGAAGAGATAATATTTTGTTGAATATGTTTGATATTTTATATATGTATGGTTGGAAATGGCCAATGACTTTTGTGGACCAGTTCTATCTGATATTAAAATTTAAACTGTAAGCTATTCTATAAATGCCTGTTGTTATCTCAAACCATACACAGAGCCTTGTATTGATGGTACTTTGGGAATGGAAAGCAGTCCACATTGCAGTACAGTTCATTTTGGGGTGCTAATGTAAAAAGAGGGCAAGATCACCTGAGGATAGAACAGAAAGAGAGAATTCACCAAGGATAATAGAATGTGGGGTGGTCAGTAGAAACATAAGCCCCAGCGAATCCTCAGTTATTTTGGACATGTCAGGTTTCTACAACAAATGGAATGAAGGCCCATATGTATTCTTTTTGAATTTTAAGGGAAAAGGTTATCTCCAAATCTTAAGGATCCCCTGGCTTCTGACTTTTGGGTTGTGTTCTTCAGGCCTTTCATCTCCAACATTACATTACTTTTTCTAATGTAAATGGGTGAACCCTACTAAATATTCTTTACAAACTCTTTCAGAAAACAGAGAAAGAGGAAACACTTCCCAATTAATTTTATGATGCCAGCATTATCCTAATACCAAAACCAGACAAAGACATTACAGAAAAACTACAAATATCTCTCATGAACATAGACACAAAAATCTTTTATAAAATTTTAATATATCAGAAAAATATAAAAAGGATAATACCTTGTCACCAAGTAGGGTTTAGTTCAGAGATGCGTTTGAAAATCCATTATATTTTACCATTACAGACAAAGAAAAAAAATCATATAATTACCTCCATAGAGGCAGAAAGAAAATTTGACAAAATTCAATAGCTATTGATGGATGGTAAATACTCCTAGCAAACTAGTACCAGAAGAGAACTTACTCAACCTATTAGAGCCTACACACAGCTAATTTCAGACTTACTAGTTAAAGACAATGCTTTCCCACTTAAACTGGAAACTAGGCAATGATGCCTCTCATTGCTTGTATTCAACATTGTGCTAGAGGCGCTAGTCCATACAATAGGGCAAAGAAAAAAGGAAAAGTTATACTAATGAGAAAATAAGGAGCAAAACTATTTTATTTATAGACTACATGGTCATTTATGTGTAAGATTCTAAGGGATTTACAAAACTACTAAAAAATAGAAGGGTATCAATATTCAAAGTCAATACATAAAAATTAATTGCATTTCTATATACTCATAGCAATCATAAATTAAAATTTTAAAAAGTATCATTTGTAGTATCAACAAAAAATAGGGTAAATTTTTTAAAGAATAAATTTAACAAAATATGTTTGCCTATACACTAAAAACTAGAAAATATAGCTGAAAGAGCTTAAAGAAGTTTTACATTAATGGAGAGAAATATGCTCATAGACAGAAGAATCAATATCATTACCATGTCAATTTTTCCCAAACTGATCTAATTTAGTATAATCTCAAAATCCCTACAATCTGTTTTGTAGAAATTGATTAACCGATCCTAAAATATGAAAAAGCGAAGGACAGAATACCCAAAACTGCATTAAAAAAGGACAATGGTGTAACACTTGAACGATTTGAGACTTATTCAGAATCTATTGTAATCAGGGTAGTGTAGTACTGGAGTAAAAAATAGACATGTAGATCAATAGAATACAATAAAAGGTTCAGAAATAAATGCAATCATATATGGATTAACGCATTTCATTGGGGAAAGGCAAGCTGAAACAAGTGGAAATCCATAAGGAAAAATAAACATTTACCTTTACCTCACACCATAAGGAATAATTCATTTGAAATGTAACAAAGACCTAAAACTATAAAACTTCTAGAAGATAATATTTAAGAAAATCTTTGTAATCTTGGGTTAAGCAAAGATTTCTTAAGTAGGACCAAAAAAAAAAAAAAAAAAAAAAAAAAGGTATGAACTATGTAAAAGAAAAAAGCACTTCGAAATTAAAAACTTTAGTTTTTATAAGACACTTTTAATAAAATTAAAAGGCAAGTCAGACTGGTCGAAAACATTTCAAAACATGTATCTAATAAAAGGATAAATAACATAAAGACCTCTGTATAATGAGCTTTTAGATAATAAGCAATTGAATTAATAAATAGGCAAAAGATGTGAATAAACATGTCACCAAAGAAGTGTGGTTAGCACTAATAAGCACATGGAAAGATGCTCAACGTCATTAATCATTAGGGAAATGGAAATTAAAACTACAATAAGAAATCACTATAGACAATTGCTAAAATCAAAAAAGACTGACAATACCAAATGTTGGCAAAGATATAGAGCGACTGGAACTCCTAAATTGCTGAAGGGAATACAAAACGGCATTGCACTTTGGAAAAGTTTGGCAGTTTCTTATGATATTCGGGTACTTACATATTACACAGAAGTTCCATTTTTTTGGTATTTACTCCTCCCGCAAATGGAAACATTTGTCCATTAAAAGACATGTTCACAAATATTCAGGTCACCCCTATTCATTGTAGTGAAAAACTGTTAAAGGACTGAAATGCCCTTCAACTGGTGAATAAATAAACTGGTATATCCATAGAATGGAATACCATTCAACAATAACAAAGAGAACTTCTGAGAAACACAACAGGTTGAATCTCAAAAGCATTGTGCTAAATGAAAAAAGGCAGACACAAAAGCCTGCCTAAATTTACTCCATTTGTAAAATCTAGAAAAAGCAAAAACTGTATTGGCAGAAAGCAGATCCCTGGTTGCCAGGCACCGCAGGTGGGCGGAGGATCTGGGGACATATAGTTCTTTTCATTTCATCGCAAACTTTAGCTTTCCTTACTACAATAGTGACCGGAAATTCTGCAAATCCGACTGTGTTAGGGCTCCTCCTAATGGAACTGCAGTGTTTCTTCGAAGCCCATTTGGTCCAGGAGTTCAGATGGCCACCGCCCGGGGACACCCTCCCAGCCCTACCTGCGCACCTCGTCAGCTACCACAGCCCTGTTTACTTTGACCGTCTCCCAAGCCAGTACTGAATTTTTTCGATTTCCCTTACGGTTTCCGTTTCGGTACCGCCCCCTTAAAAAAGAAATCCCTTTCGTTTCCCACTTGACCGGCCGGCTCCGCCCCCAAGCCGCACGTTGGGAGGCTGGCGTCCGAGCAGGGGCGGGGTAGGGGCGGCCGCGGTTCCTCGACGCCGCGGAGCAGTCGGCTCGGCGGCTCAGCTCTGCTGCGTCCGGGCACAGTGGGCGCTCTTGGCCTTTTGCCTCTCAACTCTTGCCTCCCGGCTGGCTGGAGCTCCATCTCCTCCGAAAGT